CAGTGGCAAAGTCGCGGAGCGCGAGATGGTGCAAAATGAGAGACAGTGAGTTATCGGGCACAAGTCGCCGAGCGCCAGTGCAAAGTCGCGAGCTCGAGATGGTTGCAAAATGAGAGGACAGTGAGTTATCGGGCACAAGTTCGTATGCGCGCAGTGCAAAGGTGCGGAGCGCGAGATGTGCAAACTAAGAGTCAGAGAGCTTCAGGTGAAATTCGCGAGCTCGTATTTGCCATTCGCTGCGCGCACGTCGCGTTTTTCAGCCTGCGCAGCTTACTCTTGATCATATCTCTCAATATACAACTTTCGATTTGGATGTTCAAAAACCCATGTAAAGCTAACACATAGAGGAAAAAAATAACTCTTCTATTGACACTTCCTAATTCCATCATTAAATAGGGTCAAAATTCAAAAGGTGAAGTCACTGGTTCCTTTTCCAGGCAAAAACCTGTTTTTCCAGCATAAACTCACTCTTTACTTCATTTATTCAACTTCCTCCCTGTTTTCTCACCATTACCAGTCCTCCACTCAACATGAAGGCCCCCCCCCCCCCCCCCCCCCCCCCCCCCCCCCCCCCCCCCCCCCCCCCCCCCCCCCCCCCCCCCCCCCCTCCCCCCCCCCCCCCCCCCCCCCCCCCCCCCCCCCCCCCCCCCCCCCCCCCCCCCCCCCCCCCCATATATTGTCTCATTATAAACCACCACCACACAATTATCATGCAAAGAAAATAGTTAAATGACAGAGATATCAAACCTTTACTCCAAAAAGCTTGAGCTCTTCCTTAGCTTCTTTTTCTACCAATCTTTGAACTCACTCTCTATACACATCAGAATTCTTATAACTTATCTAACAATATAACTCAATTAGAGGTTGAATAACATAAAGCTTCAAGAAATTCTACCGTACTTGGAGAAATAGAGTTGCCTTAATGCTTAACTACCATGAAAATGGATGGAGAAAGGGAAGGAAACGAAGGAGATGAAGAAGATGAAGATAACAGAAGACGTTGAAATGAAGATGAAGAAAATGAAGGAAAGCAAGAGTGAAATGGAAGTCTCGTATACTTCCAACTATCTCTTTTAATTGTATTGTACAATTACCAAATAAAGCTACAGTTTCTACATGTTACATTTTAATACCTCAACTTTATTTTTTAGTGCAATAAGTCCTACTCTTTATACTTATTTAAGTTACAATCCCATTCTACCCCACTCTGAGTTAAATGCGCTCGAACCGGGTTCTAGTTCGGCCCTACTGCGACTCGACTCTATGCAACGACTCGATTCAGTAGGATGTCAACACATTCCTTAGAAGTGTTCTTATTTAGTTTTGATTTTAATACCAGATGGGTTAATTTTGGATTATGGATTGTGTTGTACTGTCTACCCACTCTGGAGTTAAATGGCTCGAACCGGGTTCTAGTTCGGCCCTACTCGACTCGACTCTATGCAACGACTCGATTCAGTAGGATGTCACACATTTCCTTAGAAGTGTTCTTATTAGTTTTGATTTTAATACCAGATGGGTTAATTTGATTATGGATTGTGTCTGTACTGTCTCTTACTCCCTTATTAATGGTGATCCCAAAGAGTATTTTTTTTTCCCCAAACAGGCCTCCACTAAGGGAATCCCCTGTCTCCGTATTTGTTCCTAATGTGTGCTGAAGTGTTCTCAGGATTACTTTCTATGGTAGCTCGAGAAAATAAGATTTATAGCATCCAAATTTGCAAGCGAGCTCCCTGTATTACACATTTATTTTTTTTGTAAATGATAGTATCATCGTCGGTAGGGTGATAATTCAAGAAGTAGAGGTGGTAGCAAAGATCATACAAGACTGTGAAGAGGCGTCTAAGCAAAAAATAAATCTCGAGAAGTCAAAGATAGCTTTCAGCAAAAGCACATCACCACTAATACAATCTTTGATACTGAATAGATTAGGAGTGCATGCGATTCAACATCACTCACGGTACCTTGGCCTACCAGCAGTTATTGGCAGAAGTAAGAAGATGGTATTTTAGTCTATATGTGATAGGGTGACACAAAGCTTGAGGGATTGAAGGAGAAGATGCTGTCAAGAGCCGGTAAGGAAGTTCTCCTAAAGATAGTCGTCCAGGCAATCCCAAAATATACTATGAGCTATTTTCTTTTTTCGATCGATATCTATAAAAGAATAGAGGAGTCTATGGCTAAGTTCTGGTGGGGCCAAATGAACAATGAGAGGAAGATCCATTAGAGTTCCTGAAGGCACTTAAGTGTATCCAAAATGCATGGGGGCTGGTTTTCGAGATATTGCTAATTTTAATTTAGCCTTCCTAGCCAAACAATATTGGCTATTATGGAGGAGCATGATTCAGTTCTTGCGAAGTGCCTGAAAGCAAAATATTTCCCTCGGTGTTCTTTTCTTACAGCTAGAAAGGGGTTCCGACCTAGCTATGTCTGGCGTAGCTTAATGGAGGCTTGTGGGTGGTTGAGCTGGGATGTAGGTGAAGAATTGGTAATGGTGAAGTTGTGAATATATGGGGAACGAAATGGATTCTAGATAGTGAGAATCAGATGATATTATCATCGACAGTGGCCATTGACAAAAACTCAAAGGTCAATGCACTTATTCTTTCCGATCCACTGAGATGGGATGAAACGCTTATATACTCTGAGTTCTCTCCTTATGAAGCTTGCGCTATCTTGTTTATTCCACTGAGTCCATGGAGAGTGCACGATAATTTGATCTAGAATTTCTCTTAGGATGGGCATTATTCTGTTAAATCTGGATATCATCTCATTCTTGGTCGCTATTTCTCATGGACACAAGCTTCCTCCTTGAATCATAATAGCTCGCCTTTTGGAAAGCCCTTTGGAGGCTGAATATTCCTCCTAAAGTCAAGCATATGATTTTTAGAGCTTGCTCAAATCAACTTCCTGCGTTGGATGCTCTTGCAAGGAAAGGGCTTAACGTTGATCCCATTTCTCTTGCTAGTGGTAATGGTATGGAGTCTATCATCCATATTTTAAAGGCTTGTTCGTTGGCTATGCGATTGTGGTTGTACAACCCCTTTCATTTGGACACATATATTATCAGAGTGGAGTCATTTGTGGGTTGGTTTGAATTTCTATGCTCTCATTATGCTCAGGAACAACTTGAATTATTCTCTACACTAGCTTGGGTTATTTGGCGATCAAGAAATCTGAGAGAATTCCAGTCACGCGTTCTGTTTGAGATTTAAATTTTAGGTATGACTTTGACCTGTTTACATGATTTTCAGATGGCTAATAACAAGTTGGATGGCCCTTAGTCTCAAGTTCTTCATGGGTCGTGGGTTCTGCCTAGCACTGGTTTTTAAAAAGTTAATGTTGATACTGCGTTGCATGAGGAGAAAGGGTGTGGGTTGGGGTTTATCGTTAGAAATGCAGCAGGCATGGTCATGGCAACATGGACTAAGGTTCCAAACCACTTTTTCTACCATTTGATAATGTTGAGCTAGCTACTGCACTTTTTGGGTTGTCCGAAGGCTAAAGAGCAGAGCTTTGCATGGGTTATTCTTGAGACTGACTCCTTAGTTTTGCAACAGCAAATTTCTACTTAGTCGATTCCTGATATAAAGTATGGCACAGTCCTCTTGGATATGTTGGCTCTAGCTAAAAGCTTTGTTGCTTTTCAGTGTGTCCATGCGAGGAGGGAGAAGAATAAAGTTGCTCATGAGCTTGCTATGCTTTCCTTTTCTCTTAATCTAGAGGAGTCTATTTGGGTTTAGGAGGTTCCACCTCATGTTTTTCAGTTTGTAGCTGATGACATTTCTTCAATTATTTAATGAAATCTATTTTATTTCTAAAAAAACAAAAATATCTATAAAAGTTTAAAATTTCAAAGTTAAAAAATGAAAAAATATATATATTTTTTATTTTGTTTATATAAATTGCCCTTTTTCATTTGAGAAATTATATATCGAATAGATTCACATTAAATTTTTTTTTGTGTAAATTCAAATTAAAAACTTTAAGTGAGATATTAAATGGATAAAATATTAATTTTTACTCAAACTAATAAGTTGTAAATTTATAATGAGCAAATTACTTAAAGATAATAAATACTAATTTTCACCTTTACTACATAAAGTTGGATGTACATGACACTTAGCATATATATACATGTAAAAAAAAGAACAATTTAAATAATAATTTATGATGAAAATCAATTTCATTAATTATTATATTAATTGCTATCATTATTTTTAAAATTTTTTTAGAATTATTATAGGTTGACAATAAAATTATATTGTTAACAAATTTGTAAATAAATTGTGCCAACTAAATGAACAACGAACATATATAGACTTTCAATCTTATTTGATTGAGAAAGCATATTTGTATTTACATGGAAATAAATATTTTGATGAAACTCTACTAGATGACATTATCAAATTGTACATACTTTTATTCCATAATTACGTATACATGATAATGACAATATAGTATTCATAGTGCTGTCCACAAATTGAATTATTATATACAAAGTCAATAAATGTAAAGAATCATGCATAAACTTTAATTATAAAATGTCATATTTCATTATATCATGACACAACTTTAAAATTACATTTGTCAATACACAATTTATGATAATTAACCGATGTATTGCGTGGAGTGATATACTTGTTGCTTTCTAAAGTTGATTTCTATCTTTTTACCTAATTAATGATACTATGGACATCTTTGTTTCTTCTATTTTAAAATTTTATAATTTACAATTTTATTTTTACATTTCTTTAATGACTTTTCCAAACATTAACACTTTGAAACAATCATCATCTACCTAACTAATCAATAAATACTTTCGAAATATAATATGAATTACAAATTGATGCCCATCAATAGTATGCCATCAACTAGTTACCGTATGGGCTCAAAACTTCGAAAAGTAAAACTAGAAATGTGCAATTAATTGAAAAAATTAATATTTTTTATATTAAAAATCCGGTGGAGTAATAATAAATCAAAGAGCAAAATACGGATATAATCTTTTCTTTCTTTAAGTCGACGTTTTCAAAAAACAGGCTCTAACCGAAATTCACTTACCAAACGCACCAACTTTAAAAAAAAAAAAAAAAATCCCATTTATTGGTTTATTTCTATTTTGTCTTCTTTCGAGATTAGATCTCAGTTCTCTCTCCTTCAACATATAAATTTAAAAAACGTTCAAGCAAAAATGGAGAGAGCTCTCGGATCTTTGAATTTTCAGGTTTTTCTTTCTTCCCTCTTCATGTGATTTTGACTTCCGTTTCTTTTATTGTATTTCTTCTTGTTCTTATTTGAAGGTTCTGTTTGGTCACTGAGAAAAACCCTAAACATATATGGATATTATGTTGTAGTTGTTCCATATGTTGCTAAATTTCTTAGATTAATTTAATCTGTTTCACTTTGTAGTTGAACTTGAATTCTGAGAGATTTGGTTGCTTGTCATTGGAACAGGTAGCGTTTGGTTTTGTTCTGTGCCGTACAGTCTATTGTACTAGGTTGATTCTTTCTTAGTTGGTTAGTTCTTGTACCAGTTTTGGGATCTGGATTCATAATATTTTGTTCTGAATGTAGCACACATCTATGGGCTTTGAATAATGCCCATAGTGATTGAAATTTGATTGCAATGGTTTCACCACTAGTTATATTGCACTGGTTTGACTTGGAGTATGTGGATGGCTTTCAGTTAGTGTATAAAGGGAGATGGTAGAGAGTTGTTTTGATAATAAAAAGGCTGAGTACACAGGAGTTAGTTACAATCCTAGTGAAAATCAGGGTTTACCTATTCATAGAGACCCTTCGTTCTCTCACTGGTTTGACGAAGATGGTAAAGTTCATCTTGAGCCTCAATTAGAAAATTCTGACGCAAGCGCTGAAGACTCTGATTTTGAGTTGCCTTTGCTTCATCAGGACAAGAGAGAGAATGGAGTTGTAGATACTGAGAAATATCAATATAAAAATAAGTTCCAGGGTAGAAGTGTGCACCTGAATGGTAGTAGTACCATGGATCATGAAATCAATATACATGCTCTTGATCGTGAAGTCAATATACACACCATTGATCATGAAACGAATATACACAACAGAGGAAAAGAAAAAGAGAATCTGGTGCCATTTGATATTGAAAATGGGTCTCCTGGTGAGACGCGTTCATCAATAAGTAGTGATGATGTTGCTGATTCTTTTGGCAATCATAAAAACTTGCTGCTGAAGTCTAAGAGCCCTGTTTCTGCTGCGGATGTGTTGAAGACTTTGTTTTTCATACTTGTTTGGTACACTTTCAGCACATTTTTGACCTTGTAAGTTCATCTTTTACATCACGTTTTGTGTCATGCATATGTATTGTTTTTATTTTTTATTTTTTTACCTTGTGGCATGTGCTGGTTCTGTAGGTATAATAAAACTCTTCTAGGAGATGACTTGGGAAAATTCCCTGCTCCATTACTGATGAATACAATCCATTTTGGAATGCAAGCTGTTTTGTCGAAGTTTATCACGTGGTTTTGGTCTCATAGATTTCAACTCACTGTTGCTATGACATGGAGGGATTATTTTATGAGAGGTAGGTTTGTACATATATGTTATCTTTTGCTTTATTGTTCTAACTCAGCAATTGAATTTTGTTTTTCCAATATTCCCAAACAAGCCAGAGTTTTTTTTTTCCCCCTTCTCTTAATTGCATTTTCAATTGTACTTTATTTATTTTGTGTGAAAGATTTGGGAAGAAGGGCATGAATTTTAGCTCAAATAAATAGCAAAAGGGGTGGGATGGCTTTTGAAGTAATAAGAACTGTTGTAATCTCTTTCCCCTGTGGGTTTGGGAGAAAAAAATGGTGCAATGTTGGCACCATACCTGTAGGTTGGTGATTTTGGTCTCAGAATTGGCCTTTTCTGGGAAAGTTCGAGGCAAAAGAATATTATAGCTCTTTTTTACCATTTTATTATGATCATGATTAGAGACAAGGTGGAAACATAAGCGAGGCTCATTTTTGTGTTAGAGGATTTTATTTTTGAACCTTGTTTGTGGATTATTGGTAAGAGGATTGGTTCTCTGCATGGATATGCTTATCATTTGCGATGCTTCTATGCATTTTTTTGAAGTATTTGTCTATGTCATCCATGATGCTCGTGCTTGCAAGAGTCATTTAGTTCGTTGTAGGAGGGGGAATCTGCAATTTATATTACAGAAGGTGATGAGTACTTTTTCTTTGTGAAGATATTTTTGAACTGATTTTATGATACCCTTAGAAGAGCTAGCAATTGAGATCAGTATTGTTACAGTGGGATTGGCCAAGAAATTGAATAACCAATTTGGAAATTTTCTAGTCACAAGTGGTCAACTTGGTTTGCAACTCAAACTCCCTTTGAAAAAGAGAAAAGTCTGCTCTGACTCACTTGAATTGGCTGGCAACTGGTGAGACGGTTGACTGTTCTCAGTTCAAATGGATAGGGCAATCAGAACAAGGGCAAAATATCAGTTTCTCAATTTGTCATGTTGACCTTATTTGAAAAATTTTACATCGCCATTTGTATAAGAGTCAAACTTGCACTCCCAAACAAATTAGCAACACCACCTTCTATTTAACAAACCATTGATGCTTTGACATATTTTCATTATATATTTAACTAACCATTTGCCGGAAGAATTTAGTTCTCTTTCTCTTCTTTCAAGGCGGAACTTTTATCAAATTTATCATGCATACTGGCTATCATAGCCAATTGAATTTTATCTTTTGCTAAAATAATATGTTTATGAGAAATTCCAAAAACAAGTATATCAATTTGGCATAATTTTTACTCTAGGTCTGCTTTTTCTTAGGATGCCATTTAGTACCTGTAGTTTTCATGTGCTATTGCTTGTATTTATATTTTGGCTAATATCATTAAATAACACTCCTATATCACTTGTGCAACATAAACTAATGACTAAAATTGATAGTTAATTTTATGATGCATATAAGGATTTTCGGCAGTACTTTGTTTTCGTGATAAATGTTTCTGTAAATATAGTTATGGAAACATTTGATATTTTGTAATGAATTTTTTTACACCACCGAAGTGCTACATGCGCATTCTAATAGTATTAGTTAAAATGACACTGAAATGATGACAGATTAAAAATTGCAGCTGCCAAAGAAGAAAGGTGCTGAATTGCAGGGCATTTTTTTTTTTTACTTTGCATTTTCTTTTAAAACCTCACCTATCTGTTATCACATCCTCTAAAATTTTGTTTCAATATTTTTTAATAACAAAATGAAGTTATTTTTTGGACGAAAATTAAATCATACTGGTACTTGGTTGTATATACTGTAATAATTTACTTTTGAACATTAATAAATTCTACTGATTCATTTAAATTTGTTTTGATTTGAGATCATCTCTTTTTCAGTCCCTAGTTTAACTTCTAGAACTTGATTCTCTCCTCTATTTTGAATAACAAGGCAGGTTTTGAAAACATTGGTTTTCATTGCACAACAATCAATAACAATCAATAGTGACTACATATTGTTTCACATGCAATGTATGATGAATTCAGTTTTAGTGTTCTATTGGTTGTTTTGTTAGTATAGTTCACATTTTCTTGGTAAGTACAGTTTTGTTGTCTTGCATATACGAGACACCTCAATTGATAATGTAATGCTGCATTTGGTTTCAAGGTTCAAAGGAAAGCTATTAATGGTTTGGTCATGCTTTTTGTTGATGAAAGTATGAAGAAATTTGAATTCAAGACGAGCTAAATTTTTTCTTTATATAAATATGTCTAAACATATGGTTATATCTGGGTTTTGCAAGGTTCCCTGTCCAATACCTTGTATTGTATTTATACTTCACTAATTAGGTCGGATAATTGTGGACTAGAAGGAACGATTGAAACGATTATAACTTTTAGGTTGTCTTACAACAAATATTTGATTGAATTAATGAGAGTGATTTATTTGTATAGTAATTTTATGAGAGAGATAGGGAGTGGAACCTTGCTCGATTCTAGTTTGATTATCTACCTTCTGTTTAAGAAAGGGCTTGTTTTGTTCAGTAGGTGAATTATATGTAAACATTGGAGAGGATGTGTATAAGAATGCCAATCATCTTTATGTTCTTTGCGAATTCTATGATTTACAAGCCATGCATGGGATTTTATAGTTCAAAAGAAAAAGGGAACGTTGAGTAATTATTTTCTTTTATTTTATGTTTTGGGTAGTAGAGGAAAGTACTATAGCTGGACATCATGATTGTGCTTGTACTGGACTGGAAATGCAACATGTGTTGGATATACTTAGTTTGTGAGTGAGGCTTAGTTAAGTTGAATTGCGAATTCTATATCCAAATGATTTTACTAATCTGATGATGTGACTCATTTTGCATCATGAGATTGACTAAATCTTTCATATGATTATTCCTCTTAAGAGTTTGATTCTACATTGTTATTGTTGTTTGTTTATGCTTTCATGTTTATCATATGTGTAATTTTGAGTCTGGAAATTCATATTCTTGTTAGAATCAGTTTGGGATGTGTTTTGTCATTGGAAAGTCTTTTCCTTGTTTGACTGGAAGCAAAACAAAGGATTTGGCTAAATGTGGTCCTTTATAAATTTAAGAAATCTAATCTTGTACAACAGTTAGATTCTTGTAACAAGATTTGATCTAGAAGTTGTAGACTCGACATTGTTCTGAGTGAGGTTCTTCAAAATGCATTAGTAGGAGTTCAGGATTACCTTCTTCTTATTCTTCATTGATGTTCTGTTCTTTTTTGTCCTCGTTACTATTTTTTCACTTGCCATAATAAGTCTTCCAAATCTTATGTTAGAAAATTTAATCAAGCTTGTTTTGAACCTCTGTTCCTAAGTTTCAATCTCCAAGTAGTCTTGGTTTAATGTAGAATCTCAAAAATCTTGAACGAGCCATATTTTCTTCATTCATAGTTCTTAAAACTCCTGAATTCAACACTATTTGTACTTATTAAACCTTGAAATACAATTTTTTTTTCCTTTTTGCCTAATACTTACTCCCATATTTGGTCAAGGGCCTTAACAGACAACCATCCCTCTGGATTTTTTCTAATCAAAATCTTTGTTTTGCTTCAACCAATTTAACCCGTTTCAACACACATATTAGTTTCTCAAATAAAAAACTGGTTTATCCATAAAAAAGATTTAGTTCAGTAAAACTGGGTATAAATAGTTTCTTTCTCTCATTTATGAGAGTTCCCACATGACTATGCCACTTTTATACACTCAAGGGATGACAAAAAAAAAAATGTTCTGAGACACTATACAAATGCTATTTTATCATCGACTTTATAAGTATATCTTAGCTAACAATATTTCATTTTTGCTATTTCTGGTCTAATATATGTAATTTTTTGTGCTTTCAAAAAATTATAACTTCTCACTTTATATTAATTTTAAAATTTTCTAACTAATGGTTTCCATGCTTTTCTGTTTTTGCTGTGAAATTATACACAACTTGCTTAATTAACTTTTCTATCAACTAATGCTACAGATGGAATTTCCCTTTCACAGTTGTACCAACAGCTCTTGGGACAGCACTGGATGTCAATCTGAGCAATGAATCCCTTGTTTTCATCTCAGTTACATTCGCCACAATGGTTGGTTCTGCTCTTTTTACCTCACTGAATATAATGGACCATCTGAATTTTTTTTTTCTTTCTTCATAAATAGATTCTCTTATACTAATATTTTTTCCCTGTTCTACAGTGTAAATCTGCATCTCCTATATTTCTCCTCCTATTTGCTTTTGCATTCAGGTGATTGTCTTGCTAACCCTTTTCCAATCCCATGATTTCTGCGCTATTTATATACATATAAGTATTCTAGCTGGCATTTATTCTCTTTTTATTATAGCTCATATAACAAAAAGAATAATGTGCCGTCACAGTGTTCTGAAATAGCTCTATTAATTTTATAATCATAATTCTTGATGATTGTGAAGGTTTTTTATTTCAAGGTCGATAAATATCTGGTGGTGTAGTGACATAGCTACTTTCTAACTGAAGGGGCAGAATTTTTTTTTCTTGCAATAGTAAATTTATTGGGGATATTAAACCTTGCATGTCTCGTTACCCCTGTTCTTGTAGAAAATTAAGATTATGGAGATTTTAGGTTTTCTGTTCCTTCATTTGTTTTGTGGAATTAATTTTTCCGTTTTTTATGTTTTGAGAAGTCAAAATCTGAAATGGAAATTAAACCAATTTTAAGGAAGATGTTTATTTACTGGGAAGTCCTCACTGAAATTTAATGCAAAGGGAAAGAAACCAAAAGAGAACCACATGAGCACATACTTCCTTGTCCATTAGTCTGCACTGTTGCTATTAGTTGTACTGGTCATCAGATGGCAGGCACAATTTTTATTAGTAGTAAAGTTAATGAAGGAGCACCAGAAGTATGTTTTCCAAGTACATCCTTATTGGAGATTTCTGGAGGCCCATGTAACATAATTTCATAGATGCCTTATTTTTATCTTTAATGCAGACAATGCACATACACACATCTATTTTTCATGTCTTGGTCTGTTTTTGAGGACAAGTTTTCTGCTGCCTGCAACGTGGCAGCATTATCTGTGGCACAAGCAGTGAAGTGTAAATTTAAAAAAAAATTTCAAAATGCATCATTTTTTTTTTGAACCTAATTAATTATTGCTTTGGCTGCAAATCATACACCATTTATCCATTCTTATATCTACAGTGCTTCTCACCCATGTTTTAAATTAGTCATTTTTTAAATTATTTATTTGCAAACTCAGGCAGGATGAACATATTAAGACAACAACAAAAAAAAAAAAAGATTTCACTACATTAAATAATTATTTTAAAATTATTTAAATGATATTTTAACTAATAAAAATATGGGAAAAAAAATGAAATAAAACCATTGGAAAAAAAAAAGAAAACAAAATATAACAATGAGAACTATCACTAAACCTGAAAATGATAATAAAAAAAATGGTTTGTCCAACCACGATTTGCAAAAATCCATTTTTTTTTTCGGTGGCCAAAGGGATGCGAGCTTGCATAAAAAGTGTGAAAAAATTAGGTATTGAGGGAAAAGAAAAAGTGTTTTTTGAACTCTTTTACTTTGCATATGTTGCCATGTGGTGTTATTTTATTTGCCACTTTGTTCTTGTTTAATTATATATTCTGCCTCATGCTCTTTGATTTGACTTGATCTTTTTATCAGTCAATCTTTATATTTCTGCTCCTTAATTTGTGCTGTTCTTTGGAAGGTTGGAGTCTCCAAGCATTAAACTTTCAGGTATAATTGTGGTAATCTCAGTTGGAATTTTATTAACAGGTAACCAACTTCATCATTTCTTATTTAAATTTTTATTATTTATTTCAGTATGCGTTTCCACTTATTACTTTCAGCTTCTCGGTTAGAACAATGACAGGGTTGAATGTCTTAAAAATAGGCTACGTATCTCCCAGTGCATATTTGGGTTGGGGGTTGAGAAGACTGTAAAATGTAGTTGAGTTGTGTTGCGAATTGTATATTTAACTGATTGAGATAATTCATCATGAGTCATACTCATATAGTGCTGCGACTTTTCCATTGTGTGCTCAGAGCAATTGTTGGGATAAATATAAGGTGGATTATCTTAATTCATATAGCTTCTTTGTTCTGCATTTTGAATCTCTTGTATTTGCTTGTTTAACAATGCATTTTTCTTAATCCTTATACATCTTTCACTTTACACTGCAAATGAAATGGTTGCCCTGGTGGGACCCAGAATAAGTTGGCATTTAAAACTCGGCTCATTAGTTATAAGGAGGGCTTGTGTATTTATAGGACAAATTAATCAGATGAACATGTATGTTAGCTTTTGCTGAAACCTTTGTTGCTAACTAATTATGCTAATTTCCCAGAACACTTGTATGTTTGACGCAGGGGAAAGATGTAGGGCTGTCACATTTTCACTTTACAACTGCAAATGAGATGGTTGCCCTGGTGGGACCCAGAATAAGTCTGGCAATTTAAAAACTCGGCTCATTTAGTTTATACAGGGGCTTGTGGTGATTTATACGGACAAATTAATCAGATGAACATGTATGTTGCTTTTTGCTGAAACCTTTGTTGCTAACTAATTATGCTAAATTTCCCAGAACACTTGTATGTTTGACGGCCAGGGGAAAGTGTAGGGGCTGTCAGTTAGGGCTGTCAGTTTTCAACAAGTAAGCTAGAATAGGGTTGATCGTAGGTGGAACAGTAATTAGGTTTATAACCTTTGAATTAAAATTATGAGAAAAATAAGATGATTTACAATACTACTAGTGCCGTCTATTTATAGTGATAAATCCTAACTAGAGTAGGAATCCTAATTAAAGAAAAAATTAAAACTCTACTCCTATTCAATGATAAAATAGTACTAATGCAAATCTGAAATAAAACAGTAAATTAAATAAAATCCTAGTTGTGGTAGGAATCTAATTAGGACTAGGATTGCTCCTGCATCATTCTCCCGGGGTTTGAAAACGACTCGGCTCCGACGAGTAAACCTTAAAGATCCTTCAGGAATGCATAACTTATTCCCTTTGAATAAATAACTATCTTGCAATCGGTATGGCAGACTTTCAGCTTCTGAAGAATGCAGCAAATCAGCCTTTATTTTGCTAAAACATGAATCTGAATCATACTGATTTTTCAGATCTTCAAAACCTGTAATTTGAGTGCTCAAAATTGACAAAATGAAACAAAATTAATGAATCTTCTGCTCAATGCATTCAGCCACAAATATTAGATTGGACCAATTTTATACTCTTAGGTGAGAATTTAAAATTCATCACAAGGAAAGAAAACTCCACTTAGCATGTCGATTTGTGAGTTTTATTTCTGAGATTTATTAAGATACTCACCTCAAGGCCTGATGATCAGAAAAAACCACTAACTCACGATAAGCTAAGTAATGCTGCAAATGTCGAACAGCTCGTACCAAGGCATAGAACTCTAGATCATAAGTTGAGTAACGTTTCTTGGCTTTAGACAACTTCTCACTAAAAAACTCAAGAGGTCTGCCCTCTTGGCTAAGAACAGCTCCAATCCCTTCATGTGAAGCATCATATTCGACAATAAATAATTTCTCAAAATTTGGAAGTGCAAGAACAGGTGCTCTAGTCATCAAAAACTTGATTCTTTCAAATGCCTTTTGTGCAGAATTTGTCCACTCAAACTTTTCTTCTTTCGTAGATTCAATTATAGGACTCATAATTAAATTGAAATTTTGGATAACTCCTATAGAAAGAGGCCAAACCATGAAAGCTTCTAACTTCTTTGATGGATTGTGGTGCTGGCCATTCGGTAATTGCACGAACCTTTTTTGGATCTGGTTTTAATCCTTCAGCAGACACAATGTATCCCAGGAATACCACTTTTGGTTGTAGGAAATTGCATTTTTTCAAGTTTATGTGCAGCTGCTTGTAGGAAATTGCATTTTTTCAAGTTTATGTGCCATGCTGCTACTTGACGAAGTATTCTAACACTTGTTAGCAAGTGGGTTTTTAAATGAATCTTTCCTCGGTGCGGCTCATAAATCAAATGGTCCATCGAAATATAGCACAACGAAAAATTCAAGAAGCGCTTGAGTACATTCTGTCATAGACTCTCCAATGAATTTGCTTGGTGCATTAGAAAGGCCCAAATTGACATTACTAAACGCATTCAAATTATCCCATCCCGGGTGTCTTAAAAGATATTTTCCATTCATCACCATGCCTCATTCTAATTTGGTGATATCCATTTCAAGTCATTTGGAAAACACTTTAGAACCCGCGCTAGTGATAGCAATGCATATTCCTCACTTGGTAATGGAAAAGTGATATTTGAATTGTAATCTTAATTTACTAGCCACGACAATCCACACACATTCCTCGACAAGAACCGTCTTTCTTGGAGTAAGTAAGGCGGTAGGCACATGACTCTTACTTTCACGCAACCAGACTTTATTTCCTAATAAAATGTCCTTAACCTGTCTTTTCTATTTCAAGTCGCCGCTGTAAAGAGGCATTCAGTATGCAGAACATGAATTTGGTAAGCCTGCTCCTATGTACCAAAATAGCATGTTTGGAATGCCTTCTAATGAAATGGCAACTTTTTCGGTACAGATCTTCACTATATACAATCTCCTTGGAATTCCTGCAATAATCGTTGAATTTCAAAGGGAAATATTCAACTGATTTTTCCAAACTGGTCAGCTCCTATCAGTGTTGCTCATCTAAGGCATACGTGACTCCCACCTCACTATGCGCAGGCTGCAGAAATTCTATTAACCACAGCTTTACAAAGCCCATTTAATTTTATTAGTTTGCAGCTCCTTTTATTTGCTAATTTGCCGTGTTTTCTTCCTGAGAGGATTGCAAAGTAATACTTCTGTTGTCCTGTAGAAACGAATAAGTATTAGGCCTTGTCTTGGTGGCCCATACCAATGATATCATACAACCAAGGTCGTCCCACTAGAATGTGCCCAACATCCATTGGTACTATATCACATAGTGCTTCATCTGCCAAATCATCTCCCATTGTGAATTGCACTAAGCATTGAGATGTTACTGGTATCTCGTGCCATTTCTTCAACCAACCTACTTTGTATGGATGAGGATGTTTTGTTGTAGGAAGCTTTAATTTATCTAAAGCCTCCTTTGATGTCATATTTTCCATACTTCCTCCATCAATGACTAAATTACACACTTTGCCTTCACAAATAACACGTGTACAGAAAATGCTACGCCTCTTCCAATCTTCTTTTCTTTCTTTGTTCATGGCTGTCATGACTGTTCGAACAACTAAAGACTCACCTTGAGCTGGGTGAACATCAATTTCTTCTACTTCCTCATCATATTCATCAAAGATAGGGCCTTGGTCTTCATCATACTTGGCTAAATTCACCCTCCTTTGTGTACCGATGAATGAAGTTTGTCCCTTTTCTCCACAAGTAAAACAACGAACTTGAGAATTGTTGCCTCTCTTTGTAGACTAACCAGAATTGTTTTTTCCACCATAAGGTACTATACCCTTCCCTTTATCGTTCCCATCAACATGGGTTGTCTCTTCATTGTATTTATTAGTAGCGGCAGCATCTTTCCTGCTTCGTTGAGTTGTTTGAATCCCTCTTGCAGCTCCGAAATTGTTTTGCCAATTGTTCTGTTTATGGGCCTTCTAGCACCGTAACGAGAAACTTGCTTTTCAGCTGCTAAGGCATATTGGCGAGCATCTTCAAGATTGTGTAATCGGACTATGCTATTGGGCGAGCATCTTTCAATGATTGTGTAATCGGACCTATGCCCATTTCATCTCTAAGGGATTGAATTGAAAGACAACAGGTAGCGAGAGGTAATTTGTTCAATTACTTTTCAGATATTCCAACTCGAAATGAATAAAATTATTAAATTCTGCAGTGTACTTTTTCACAGACAATACTAATTTTGTTTCAAGCAGTGGAAACCTTTCATATAGTTCCAATTGTGTATAATCAGTGGGTAAAAATTGCTCTCCTTAGCTTTTATTTTTGAATGTGGAGGTAATTTGTTCATTACTTTCAGATATTTCAACTCGAATGAATAAATTATTAAATTCTGCAGTGTACTTTTCAACAGACATACTATTTTGTTTCAAGCAGTGGAACCTTTCATATAGTTCCATTGTGTAATCAGTGGGTAAAAATTGCTTCCTTAGCTTATTTTTGATGTGGTCCCACGTGCTGATTTTAAGCTTTCCTTGTCGTGCGCGCTGCTTCTCAACTCTCTTCCACCATAGAAGTGCAGTACTCTTCAATTTAAGCTTGACAAAAAGCACTTTTCGCGTTTCAACCATTTATTTCCATTCAAAATAATTTTCTAAACTAGTTTCCCAGTCTAAATAGTCTTCGGCATGCGATTTCCCATGAAAATCAACAACTTCAATTTTAACTCCACTATTTAAATCAAGAGCATGAAGTAAACGCTCTTACAATCTGCCTCGTGCTGCTGGGTTTGCACGTCCAGCTTCATGAAAGGGGTTTACGTCCTCGACTTCCTCTTCACTCTCAAGAGCTTCTTGAAAATCAAGGTTTTGGTGGTTGCCTTCTGGAGTCTCCATTCGGGCTTCCATGGGTTCCTGACGCTGCGAGGCTTGTACAGCCTGGGTCAAATCCTCAATCATTCGCCGTATCTCAGCTATTTCATCTTGTTGGGGCTGATTGCCTCTGCCTCTGCGTCTTCCAACCATGGTTTAATTCAGACAGAAAAAGAATCCTAGGATCTGTTTTTGTGCTATGATACCAATTGATGCAGGGAAAAGATGTAGGGCTGTCAATTTTCAACAAGTAAGCTAGAATAGGGTTGATCGTAAGTGGAACAGTAATCAGTAATTAGGTTTATAACCTTTGAATTAAAATTATGAGAAAAATAAGATGATTTACAATACTACTAGTGCTGTCTGTTTATAGTGATAAATCCTAACTAGACTAGGAATCTTAATTCTTTCTTCTACTCCTATTCAATGATAAAATAGTAAATCCTAATCAAATAAGGAACGGAAAACTAATGTAAATTTGAAATAAAACAGTAAATTAAATAAAATCCTAGTTGTGCTAGGAATCCAATTAGGACTATGATTGCTACTGCATCAATGTTTATCTCATAAATACCAGATCTATAACCCATCTCTAAGTTTAGGAATATTGTATTATTTATTTTATGGTAATGGTAATGGGGCACAGAACTGTTGATGTGATATCATCACATGTGGCACGTCTGTTCCCCAATTTGTTAATAAGAGTTATTTATTGTTTAAGCAATGCACATTTTGTATTGGGTTTTGCATGTTAGTTGTGCACAATAACTTTCTTGTTTGCATACCCGTCGTGTACTCATATTGCTTGTATTATGGTACTCTAAACCTTTTAAGGGGAACAACAAGGGTTCTTGTATATTTAACAGTTTAATTCATGTCCATTTGGCAAAGCAAGTTGTTTAGTAAATAATGGATGGATGTCACACTGGATGCGCAATTTTGTCCAATACTCATGCTAAGTGAATATAAAATATATGATGATGATTGCTAGGTATTGTTTTCATGTCTCTTCAAAGAAAATCCTATTTAAGAAAATGTTTAATTATAATTTGATTAATCTCAAGAACAATTTAATATGAATCATTTAATTTTAATGGATATTAATATAAGGGTATATTAGGAAAAAACAAAATAAAAACTATAGTTTAACTATATTAACTAAATTTTCTTAATTTGTGTGCAAATTCAAACTGGGATAAAAATTATGGGAAGGAGGGAGTATCTTTTAGTAGAGAACAGATGTCACCACTACAATTTGTTTTAGATTTTTTGTGTTCCAAATCTCAAATATCTGTTTTCTCCATTACTTTTATTCTTCCCTCTTCATCCTTGCTTTTAATTTTTTTCCTATCCAGTGGCAAAGGAGACAGAATTTGAGTTTTGGGGATTTGTACTTGTTATGCTTGCTGCTGTTATGTCTGGGTTCCGCTGGTCCATGACTCAAATTCTTCTGCAGGTATGACCTGATTGTTGTTTATTTAATGTTATGGTGCCCAAAATATTTGTAACATTAATTGGTATTGACAAATAGAGTTGGTTTCTCTCTAACTCATTTTCTGTTTTGTTTTTGTTTTTGTTTCTTTCCCCCCCATGGCACTTGTTTTGTCAATTTGGTGATGCATGGATATCCAAAATGACATAAAGAAAGAAGAATATGGTAGGTGCTTTTTTTATCCTAGCCTACTGTCATTATCATTTTAACAATCTGCAATGCTTTGGATTTATTTACATTATTTGTCTTGTCAAAATGTGTGTGCAAGGACTGATTTGAATGATCCTTTTGGGTTATTGGTACATGTGTCTTTATTTGACAAGAAAAGCAAAAAATAAAGAAAATCTGCCTCTTTGGTCAAGAGAATGAAAGTTCTTTGAGCAAGAGAATATAGCAAGGCAAATTGATTTGCCCTCTCGATTCTATGTTATTCTTGTGGTTGATGAGTATGATACTTGATAGGGCTGGTTTAAGTTATTTGATTCATGTTGTCAATCCAATTACTCTTAACCTCTAACCCTGTCAGACCTGTATTCTCTGTTTTTTTAAGTTAGCATGTTACTTGTTGCTGCTTTTGTTTGAGTTTTATACTTTTGTGCAATAATAATGTTTTTATTTTTGTTTTGATTCTCAGGTTTGAAAAATCCACTTATGTTGATGAGCTATGTGACTCCTGTGATGACAATAGCAACTGCTTTTCTTTCTCTTTTGTTGGATCCTTGGTATGAATTTAAAACGAGTAGTTACTTCGATAGTTCTTGGCACATTGCTCGAAGTTGCTTGTTGATGTTTTTTGGCGGAACACTGGCCTTTTTCATGGTATGGGTCTTTGTCTTTTGGCTCTTTATGTTTTCCTTTTAATTTTTGTTTTTGAGGATGAACGTGACTTGCTGGTTTAAACTTTAATTAGAACTTGAAAAATGAGGATCAAATTTTCGTTCATATGATTTTAATGCTCCCAAGGTTCCCAAAAAATCATGAGTCACGTTAAATCATGAGTCACGTTATGAATATTTGTTAAATCAAACACAAATTAAGAGGCAGCAGAACACCATTTGGCTAGCAGTCAAGTGCCTGCCTCTCAGTGCAAACTATCAGGGGGATCAAACCATGACAATCCCTCTCCTTTTAAAGAATTTCTGATGTACGAAAAGATCTTAAATCAATTTGGTTAGATGCGGAAGATTGACTATGGAAGCAGGTTTTCTCATTAGATGATTGGTGATATATATTGAAAGAAAAAGAGGAGACTTTTATATGATCCTTATTTGTTGAAGAATATGCATATCAAAAATAGTCTTAAGAGACAATCTATAACGAGTTCTAGAATGAAAATTGAATCTCTTATATATATATATATATATATATCGGTAAGTAATAGATTGGACTATGGAAAGCTAGGTTTTCCTTCTCATTAGTTGATGTAGTGGGTGTGATGATATAGTGATGGAAGAAAAGAGGAGAACTTTTATATCGATCCTATGTGTTGAATACGAGATATGTGCCGATAGTCAAAAGATAGTGCTTAAGAGACAATCCTGATTGTATCATCGTGACGTTTTCGTAATGATACTGAAAATGATATCTCTTGTGTGAATAGTAGTAATTGTACTTTTATAGTAGTACTATATATAAAAGGGCATTGAAAGGGATTGTTCCATAGTGGTTTGGTATAGTCAATGGGATGACATATGCATGTTGGTTGCACCAGGCATTGTAATATATATATATATATATATATAAAGGCATTGAAGGGATTGTCATTAGTGTTTGGATAGTCAAGGATGATATCATGTTGGATTGCACCAGGCATTGTATATCTGGCTTTTGGATTAACAAATGCCTATAGTTATTGAGACATCTACGCTATCTCACAGTGTGCACATTGCAGATGTCTGAGCTTAAGTGCATAATGTGGTGTGAGGCATGTCAGCTGTAGGATATGATGGGTGAAATAGACAAGGTGCATTTTAGGGTTCTGTGTGGTTAGAATGCTATTTGACCAAGCATGGTGTATGACAAGTATTGATCAAGGGAAAAAAACAAAATGCAGGATTAGCGTGGCAGAAATAAGATGGATGTGCTGAAATATGTAATGGAACAGATAACAAATGAATGTGTTTAATTAGAAAGGTGGAAGTGACATCCATTATAGCTGAGAGAGAGGAGATTGAGATGACTTGAACATATATGTCATAGACTAGCAGTGGACTGGTATGAAAAGTTTGGAATATTGAAGTTTCAGGAGAAAGTAAAACTAGAGCCAGACTTTAGATGATGACTTAGTGAAAAAATATTTAGTTATCTTATATATATTTTTTGTTGCCCTAAAGTGAGTGAAATGAAGGTAAAAATCCCATATTAGCTCACCCTAACTAGTTTGAGTTTTATTTAGTTTGATTCAAGTTGACCTAGTTACATTTTTTGTTTTAAGACTACAATGTGAAAACGTATTCTTTGATGTTGCAGGTTTTAACGGAATACATTCTTGTTTCAGTTACTAGTGCTGTCACAGTGACTATAGCTGGTGTTGTTAAGGAGGCCGTCACCATATTGGTATGAGCTGTTATCATATTATTGTTCTCTTTCTAACTTCATGCAAAAAATATTGGTCCACTTGAAATTTTATTTCCCATTCTCACTTGCTTGACTTTCTCCTGTTTCAACGGTGAAATCTTTTAACTATCTTTTATCCATGTATGAATAAGTCGTTGTTATTGTTCTTTGAAGAGTGAAGACAAATTACATCTTATTAGTAACAGAGGCTTGTGTGCTACTCTATGATTTTTTGTTTTTCCTTGTTGATTTACCATTAGTTCAGTTATTTGATTCTGCAGTATAGTCTTGGGTTAAGATGTTAATTGCATTCTTACTCTACCTAAGTTATCGTAAAAAGCTTAATGATCCTTGCTGTAGTACTCTTATTTTAGCAAATCCTTAATGATTTTCAGTTTTGGTGATAACTGCTCCTCAGGAGCCACCAAGGTGTAGTACTCACTAAAATTTTTTCTGTTTAATAATTCATCCATATTCAGGTTGCAGTTTTTTACTTCCATGATAAATTCACATGGTTGAAGGGAGTTGGCCTTATCATCATTATGCTGGGCGTCAGTTTATTCAACTGGTACAAGTAAGTCGTCGGTCAGCATAGTTTTGAAACAATTTAGTGATTTGCAAACACTTGATCCATTTTCTCTCCATGTTCAACTGAAGTTTGTTTTGTGCTAAGGAATTTTGCATTCCTGGATATAGTTTGTAGAAATCAAGAATTAGGATTCAAAACTAATCTGGCAAGTCTGATTTTCTTTAGAATAATAAAAGAAAAAATCAATTAAACAAAAATAAACTGCTAGTATCACGCTAATAGGATTGATGATTTGCTCCTACCAAGAAATTATCATCATTTCTAGGGTTAGAATTGCATCACATAACTGAAGTTTGTTTTTGTACTGCTCTTCTTGGCCTTTAGTAGTCTGAAGGATCTGACCCTTTTGTGCTAAGGAATTTTGCATTCCTGGATATAGTTTGTAGAAATCAAGAATTAGGATTCAAAACTAATCTGGCAAGTCTGATTTTCTTTAGAATAATAAAAGAAAAAATCAAGTAAACAAAAATAAACTGCTAGTATCACGCTAACAGGATTGATGATTTGCTCCTAACAAGAAATCATCATCATTTCTAGGGTTAGAATTGCATCACACAACTCAAAATAAGAGCATAACTCATGAAATTGTAACTGAAATCTGAAAATAAAGCGTTATCATGGGTATGTTATAGAGGCTAAATTTTGCTGATATACTGTGGTCATCCATATTACCATTATTGCGATATTCACTTTCGGCATTGGGCTTATTCAGATATCAAAAACTACAAAAACATCAAATGAGTGAAGATCACTTGGCTGGGTCTCCTACAACAAATGTCGCTGCAAAATATGTCATACTTGAGGAGATGGATGATCAAGATGAAGCTGGTTCAGAGCTTTCGAAATCCTGAGTAAGCCTCTTACAGTTCATTGAATGAATATTTTCACTGTGCAGTTCTGCGTTCCTGCTTATTACTACTACAAATCAGCTTTTGACTTGAAATGCTTTCATGCTGTTTTCATGGTTTAGATATGCTTTACGCTCCATTTCGTATAAATGAATTTAAATGTGGAATTTATAGTATATAAATAAATTCTAGGCAGAATTCGTTTGTCAATGGATTTTTCACGTTTAGAATAAATTCAAAATTTAAAATTCACTTGCTTTTATTTTCTAAAATACCCTTGACATGATAATTTTATAAGACGACTCGTAGTTTTGTCATAGAACTTTGAATTTTTCAATTATGGAATTCATTTGGGAATTCTTCCCTCTTTGGTAGAATTTGATTTAGTTGTGTTCAAAAATATAGAATTGAAATTTTCTTTTCTTTTCTTTTTTCTTTCATTCCAAACACAAGAATTTGATTTATAATGAATTCCACTAAAACGATGCGTCAGTCTATATTTATCTATTGAAATTTGAAATTTTGAGACCTAAAAGGTAATGCTGAAATTTAGGTTTGCTTGTTGAAGAAGCTTGTGATGAGTGTGCTGCTGGCTACTAATCTCATATTCGAGGCATTTGCTGATTTCTTCAGTCATCAACAAACCTGTATAATTGTATCAGAATGACCGTTGACTAAGAAATTCCGAGACACTATTAAGAGTCGAGATTCATTCTTTGAATTTTTCCCTCGCCATGGTTAGCGAGCGCCTATTTTATATCGAAGTTTTCTTGAGCTTTTTTGGTAGTTGGATATTATTGTTCTGCATTAAGCTACACTTCCATGGATCCTTAGTCAAATATCTGATTCAATTGTGGGGTCTTGCCCCACTTGATTTCTTTCTTAGTTGTTATTTCGACATTATACTGGCAATTAATATACTGGTTGAAGTGTAAAATGTGATGCTCCCTTATCAGTGTAATTCAGCCTAGAATATTTTTCCTGTTCTTTTTCTATTTGTTGTTGCTCTAAACTCTACCTTCATGCTATATTTGTTATCCATAGTGAACAAGTGCCTAACCTTACGGTAACAACTCGAAATCGTTTCGAGACTTAAAAGAGAGTTGCTATATTTGTTATATTGACAGTAATTTTTGTGGGTTAACTGAGACAGAGTTCAATTTTCGCTTTCACATCCTCTTATAATGTCGTAGTCTCAGGCTGGTTCGTTGTCTGATCTGAAAGACGACATTCTTGACAGACACCATGATAAGGTTGACAAAAAAACTCTAATCCAAACTAATAATTTCCTTTGTCATTTTTGACAAATAACTATGGAATTACATTCCAAACATGGAAACTAGCCTGAAGGTAGGAGTCTCTTGCTAGAGTATGTGCTCCAACATTGGCTTGTCTCCGAACCTAATGAATACAAATATGGTTACGATAACAAAGTAACAATCTACAGTCTTCAACAAGAAGACCACCTTACGAACTGTCACTATTAGAAGAATATAGGGAGTAAACCAAATGCCGACTGTCTGAAAAAAATGACACCCGCTCCTTGCATGTTCATATTTGCCCATTGAAGTGTCTGTTGCAATGCCAATGCTTCGACTATTGAAGCATCCATATAGGAATTAAAATGACTTGATAAAGCACAGATAAAATAGCCCTCCTGGTCTTTGAAAGTAGCCCCGAAACCTGAATAAGAGAGATCCATAAATACAGCTCCATCAACAAATGATATCCTAACTGGAAATCCATGTAGTCCATGCAAGCTGGATATGTTGAAAGGATCACCATGCAATCACTTACAACTCAATCAGCTAATTAAGGATAGTTTTGATATCATTTTGCAGGCATTTATACTTGCAAAATTGATTTCGAAGCAACAAAGTTGCCCCCAAGTTGTCAGAACTAATAAGAGAATGGTGAAAATGAAAATAATATTTTTAGAAAAAAAAAAAATCCAAGTTCCTCTTCTATTCATAATGTCTTTTTTACTGGGGTGAAAAAATAAAAAAAATAGTAATAAACAAGTATTTTCAGTGTCAGATTGTCAATGTTAGATTATCTACGCGGGTGCTCTAATTCTGCCGATCTTGAGTAGCCTCCAGCGATGCTATGAAATATTTTAGTCTAAACCATGAAGGGAGTACTTTGACTATGACATTCAACGTACCATTTGGTATTAAAACCGTATAACGCCAGCACATTGATTCAAACCTATTCAAACCTATCATGCTAAGCTTGCACCTCTTTTTTTTTTTTTTTTTTTTTTGCACTATTGAATATAGGTTATGGTCTATACCTATGGAATTGGGTTAGTACTTTGACTATTTTTGACATTCATTCGTTAACATTTGGTATTAATTAACCGTATAACGGCATATGTCACTATTGTATCTTCATACCTTATCTCAGACCTATTTGTCATGCTAAAGCTTTGTCTATTCCTCTTTTGTTTGGTTTTTTTTTTTTTTTTGGTTCTGTTGGAAATCAATCACAAATTGTCTTGGTAAAATCTTTTATTAGACATGTTTTTTTGAAAATAAACAGACCAAATTTCCTGTTAGTTCTTATCTTGTTTTTGTTTTATTCTATATTTTTATTTGTGTGCTAGTTTTTTTTGTTTAGGTATTTAAATGATTTAATTAGAATAGATTTGCATAGTTTTTTTTTTTTTTTTTTTTTTGGTCTGTGGAAATCAATCACTAATTTCTTGAAAATCTTATGACATGTTTTTGAAAATAAACAGACCAAACCGTTAGTTCTTACTTTTTTGTTTATCTATTTATGTTCTAGTTTTTTGTTTAGTAAAAATGATTAAAGAAAGATTGCATAGTTGCAGTATGATTTGTTGACTTGACCAAGTTGATGATCTCCTGCTATACATAATCCACCGGAAGTGTTGGGTTGCGGTTTCGCCTTCAAAACCATGGTGCCTCACCTTTTGGATTTGAAGTGTATATATATATTTGCAATGCAGATTGCAAATATGGTAAGCTTTAAAGCACCTCGTACGATATCAGTGTTTAATTTATTTGCATCTTTCAGCTTATTATATATCTCCTCCTCATAAACACATTGCTTATTTGTTCTACAATGAGTATTTACTATACTAAATATTTATTCCTTTATTACTTTCTTGTTCTTGTTCTTGTTTCTTCTCATTTTCTTTACTTATCAAATGCTGAATCTTTTGATTACCCAAATGCAAACCTCTCTACTACGTGGATAAATAGCCCCTCTCTTCCCCATTCTGTAAAATTCACTGATGGATCATTAGTGAGAGCTATTCTTCTAAGAGGAACATTGGGTCCAAAGTTCGCTTGCGGTTTCTTTTGCAATGGAACTTGCAACTCTTACCTCTTCGCCATTTTTATAGTTCAAACTAGTAGTGTTTCATACATAACTTCTCCTGCCATTGGTTTTCCTCAAGTAGTTTGGTCAGCCAACAGAAACAATCCTGTTAGTATCAATTCGACGCTAGAACTCACGTCTGATGGAGATTTGGTCTTAAAAGATGTTGATGGAACTATTGCTTGGTCCACGAACACTCGTGGGAAGTTTGTAGCAGGCTTAAACTTAACTGATACAGGCAACCTTGTGCTGTTTGATAATGAAAATGCAATAGTTTGGCAATCTTTTGATCACCCAACTGATTGTTTGGTTCCAAGCCAAAAATTGGTTTCAGGACAGAAACTTATTCCTAGTGTTTCTACAACTAATTGGACTCAACTAAATTTGCTATCGCTGTCTGCCACTGATGAAGGATTTTTTGCTGCAGTTGAGTCCAATCCACCTCAGGTCTATGAAGAGTTTACAGTTTATGGCAACAAGATGAATAAAGAACTAACTTATGTTACTCTCCGAAATGGAAGCTTCGCATTGTTCGCCAATTCTTCAGAGCCCAGTGAACCGGATATCTTCATTCCAATTCCTGCGGCATCATCAGCTCAGTATGTGAGGTTTTGTCCTGACGGACATTTGCGACTATATGAATGGGGAACAAATGGGTGGAAAGAAGTTGCAGACTTGCTTTCAGCTCCAGGTTATGAATGTTTTTACCCTACTGTTTGTGGGAATTATGGCATTTGCTCGAACGGGCAATGCAGTTGTCCTTCAACAACCTACTTTAAGCAAATAAAAGATAGGAAGCCTAATCTTGGTTGTTCTGCAATTACTCCTTTGTGTTGTGAAGCTTCTCAGAATCAAAGTTTTTTAGAGCTTAAAGATGCAACATATTCTTCATTTCGCATAGACCTCGAAAATGTTGATTCGGAGAGTTGCAAGATCGCTTGTTCAAAGAACTGTTCCTGCAAAGCTGCTATTTTTCAATACGGTTCAAATTCTACTGATGGATTTTGCTACTTGCCAAATCAAATATTTTCACTGATCGACAATGATCAGGAAAAAACTCATTATAATTCTACCATTTACTTAAAGGTGCAAAATGATTAGGGAGAAAGGCTATCTTTATGCAATTTTTCAGGCTTTTGACAGGTCTAATATTTTTATTTTGTAATAAAATGCACCTCTATGGTTGCTTAGTTCAATATATGACAATTATTATGCTGGTTAATATGTAAAACGTGGTGTTCCTAAATTTGTGTTATTGTCAATATAGAAAATTTTTCTTCTTGCTGCTCTAAGTGTTGTTTGCAGATTGAATTCTTCCAAACCAACTCATATATCATACATGAGGGTAGTTCTTCCATTTGAATAACACTTACTGATATTAACAGCCATTTTCCTGGACTGTTAGAGAAAAATTTTTTCTATGATACTTTAATATATTTCTTAGGTATTTTTGGTTTAAATTAAGCTATAATTATGTGTATCAATCAGTTTTTCACTCACGTGATGTAGTAGTTGGTTATATGTACTTTTTGCTTAAACTTATGGCTAAAATCTCTAGTTATATTATATTTTTCTTCTAAGCTAATATATATATATATATATATATATATGTGTGTGTGTGTGTGTGTGTGTGTGTGTGTTAGTGCTTATTATCTTTTTATTAGCAGGAGGTTTTTTCCATGAAGCTTGGTTGAAGACGGTCTATGGGATTATTTTTTATTTTTTGTTAAATGAAAAGTTTTGCGAGCCCTTCTATATTGGTTTGCTTTAGTTCATTATATGGTGGATCAATTTATTATTGCTTGGTTTAAATAATGTTAAGAGGACGTGGTGGTGTTTCCTTTAAATTTGTGTTTGTGTATTTGTCAATTGATATTAGAGTATAAAATGTTTTTTTTGCTTTCCTTTGCTGGTCTCTAGTAGTTGTTTGCGATTGTACATTTCTTTTCCAAACCAATCTCATATATCAATACATGAGGTGTAGTCTTTTTCCATTTCTGAATAATCCACTTACACTGATACTTAACAAGCCTATTTTTTTCCTGGACTGTTAGAGAAAATTTTTTTCTATGATACTTTAATAAGTATTTTCTTATCGTGTATTTTTGGTTTAAATTAAGCTATAATTATGTGTATCAATTTCCAGTTTTTCACTCACTGTGATGTAGTAAGTTGGTTGTATATGTACTTTTTTGTTCTTTATCAATCTCTCATGGCTAAAATCTTCCTTATGTTATATTATATTTTTTCTTTCTATAGTCTAATATATATATTATTTTAATATGTATTAATTTGTTTGTTGGTATTTGATTGATTGATTTTGTGTGTGTGTGTGTGTTGTGTGTGTGTGTGTTATGCTTTTTTATGATATAATCTTCTTATACCACTCAACAGAAATTTATTTAAGTGACTACTAAATTTGTATTTGAGAAACGTCCAAGAATATGTTATGACAAGAGGAAGAGTATGTTAGGATAAAGACTTTCCTTTTATTTTTTAAGCAACTCTTCTTGGGCTTTGTATTTAGCAATAGCATTAGAGTAACTGGGTTTATGATATGATAAACTATCACCCTTAGTTAATCTGACATAGGAAGAGAAATGGTAAAGTGCATGAGTGTTGTGAAACTGTATTAATGCTTTTAAGATCTATGATAGGATTAATCTTAAGCTCTAAGATGCAACAACGTGGGGAAACTCTTAAGTGGACTTTTAATACTCCTTAAGAATTGTGTGTGTGTGTGTGTGTGTGTGTGTTAGCTTTAGAAACTCTTATACCACTCAATAGAAAAAATAGAAAGAAACACAATTGATTGAAAACCCAAGAATAGTAGACAAAGAGAAGAAGTTTAGGATAAAACTTCTTTATTAGAACTCTTTCTTGCTTGATTACAACTAGCATAGAGTAAACTATTTATAGATAAACTATCACTTGTAACTACAAAGAGATTAAATGCTAGTTTTGAAACTTAAGCTTTAAATCATATAAAAACTTAAGCTCTAAATGCAACAAGAAACTCTTAATACTTTAATACTCCTTAAGAATTTTCTTTATCACACCAAGTTTTTCCCTTAATTCTTCAAAACGAGTCTTTCTCAGAGATTTATTAAAATATCAACCAGTTGATCATTTGAACTGCATTGAATAAGACATATCTCACCTTCTTTCTCTTCTTGCCTAATAGCATGATACTTCACTTGTATATGCTTTGTTCGCCCGTGTTGGACTGGATTTTTAGCCATTAAACTAGCTGATTCATTGTCTACCTTGATGATAGTTGCAGTAGACTGACTTTATTGCAAATCTAATAACACTTTCCTTAACCAACTTGCTTGATTAGCAGCAGCAGCTGCACTCATACACTCTGCTTCTGCTGTTGACTAAGCGACCACATCTTGCTTTCTGGATATCCAAGAATAAATTCCATAACCTAATGAAAACATGTAATCAATTGTGCTTTTCAAATCGTGTGGACATCCTGCCCAATCACTATCAACATAACCATTTAACTTCCCATCTTCGACTAGCTTGAATTGGGTTGGGTGATCCAAACTTCCCTTAACATACCTAAGCACTCTTTTGGCTGCTATCAAATGATTTTCCCCTGGTGCTTGCATAAACCGAGATAAAACACTAGTAGCAAATGGCAAATCAGGCCTGGTAGCTATTAGATATAGTAGGCTTCCAACTAGACTTCTGAAATTGGAAGCATCAGCTTCTTCTCCTCCATCTGACTTGGACAATTTCTGGTTTTGAACTAGCGGAGTACTCACTAGCTTACTGGTTTCCATTTTGAATTTCTTCAATAACTCATGAGCATATTTTCTTTGGGAAATGAAAATGCCATTTGATGATTGACTTATTTCCATTCCAAGAAACTATGTCATGAGCCCAAGGTTGGACATTTCAAACACCTCCATCTCCTTCTTAAAATTGGAGATTAAACGTGGACTGCTACTTGTTACCAATATATCATCCATATAAATAGAAACAATTAGCAAATCACCATTCTCAATGGATTTCACATACAAGCTTGGCTCATTTTCACTCTTCACAAAGCCACATTGTGCTAAGTAACAGTCAATCTTGCTATACCACGCCCTTGGAACTTGTTTAAGACCATATAAAGCCATATGAAGCTTGTACAGCTTGTCTTCCATACCAGCAACCTTGAAACCCTTAGGGTGCTCAACATATAGCTCCTCATCAAGTTCATCATTTAAGAATTCCAATTTAACATCTAAATGGTAAATTTTCCATTATTTTTGTGCAACAAGAGCCCAAAGAATTCTAATTGTTTAATGTCTTGCAACAGGTGCAAAAGTATCACCAAATTCTACTACCTGGTTGCTGTGAGTAGCCCTTCACAATAAGTCTAGCCTTATGCTTGTTAATAGATCGATTTGGATTTAGCTTGAGCCTATAAATCCATTTCACTTTAATAGCTTTCTTTTAATCTAGCTTGTCAACCAAACTCCAGTTTGATTTTTGGAAATCATCTTAAACTCCTACTTCATTGCATGTCTCCATTCTTTATGCTTTTTCGCTTCTTCAAAGCTTGAAGGTTCCACCATTGCAAGATTACACTGTTCATAAATTTCTGATAGAGGTCTTGTTTTCAGTATTGCAGTGTCTATTGTTGACTCAACAATGGGAGAAGTGTGAAAATTTCCACTGTTTTGCCTTACTCCCAAGTTAGATCCCTGATTGCTAAAGGAATTAGAAAGATGATCGCTAGATCCTATGGAACCTATACAAGCTCATCTTTTTCCACTTTCTTCAAATCCTAGCTCCAGTGAGCAAATTCATCAATTACAATATCTCTACTCACTTGGATTTGATTTGAATTCAGGTTATAAACTGTATAACCTTTAGAAGCAATTGCATAACCTAAGAAAATTTCTTTTTCAACCTTTTGTTCCAGCTTGGTTCTTTTCACCATTGGAACATGAATGTAACAAATTGGTCCAAAAATCCTGAGGTGTTTGGCTGTTGGTTTTAATCTTGATCAAGCTTCCACAGGTGTCATCTTCTCCACTACTTTTATAGATGACATGTTGAGCAAATAAACTGTCGTGTACACTGCCTCAGCCTAGAAACTCTTTTGGCATGTTCTTTTCGCCTAACACGCATCTACCCATTTCTACAACTTATCTGTTCTTCCTCTCAAAAACACCATTTTGTTGTGGTGAATAAGTCACAATCAACTGATGATTTATGCCATTATCTGCACAAAACTTCTGAAATTCATGGGAAACATATTCTTTCCCATTGTCTGATCTTATAGCTTTCAGCTTGCACCTACTTTGCATTTCAGCAATGATCTTGAACCTTTTGAACATCTCAAAAACCTGCCCTTCACTTTTTAGAAAATAGACCCACGTCATCCTAATAAAATCATCAATAAAGAGCATAAAATACCTATTTTTACCAAAGGATTCAGTGCTCATTGGATGTCACATGTCAGTGTGTACTAACTCCAGTTTATGCTTTGCCCTCCAAGAAGAACTTATTGGAAATGTTTGCCTATGAGATTTTCCTAACTGACAAGTACCATAGATTGCCTTGTTTTCAAACACCACCTGTAATCCCTTGTCATTCATTTAGACTGCATTTCCTTCAAAGATCCCATGTTAAAATGCTTGTATCTTCTATGCCATAGATTTGAATCATCTATTTTAGCATTGTTAATACTTTCATAGACTGACTGCCCACTCAAAGGAATACTTTTATCAACTATAATAACCTTACAAATTAGGTGACCATTTTTATCATAAATGCAACTGTAGACACCTAAATTTTATTAAGTTAATTTAATTATTAACTTAATTATTTAATCAGCTAATTAAGCTCACTATTGCAAGTCAGAGTCTAGCACGCCCTTACCATGCTAATTAGCATGCTCGTACCAGGAAAGCAGAGTTTTGCTTAAAGGTCAGAGGCTAGCATGCCCAAGCCGTGCTCCTCAGTACGCCTATGCCAGGTAAGACAAAATTTTCTTTTGTAGGTCAGAGGCTCGCATGCCCCAGCCATGCTATTCAGCACGTCCGTGCCACGTTCAGATCTGCATTAAACGCACCTTTTCGGTTACCGCGCAGTCCACCCTATTTAAAGAACACGCCTCATTTCATCTCTTCTCCTCAATTGCACACCCTAGCCGCCTATCCTTTCTTCTCCATCTTTCTTCTTCTTCTCTCAATCAAAGTTTAGCAACATAATTTTTGTCTCCTTCTCTTTCACTATGCCTCCATGATACAAACGCAACAGACCTGCCTCTTCAGTGGCTGCAAGAAATCGGCCAATCGCCCGGCGTTCAACTGCTTTTCCTCCATCCATTCCACCTCCTACAGCTCCGGCTCCTCCTCCATTTGAGATTGACTCACCGGAATAATAGGAAAGGTACAATACACTCTCTCATCGCCCTATTTTGCCAAATTGTTTTATTGATGAATCTGCACTAGCAGAAGTAGGGCTTCGGCATGTTGTTTTAGAACCCCTTAGGCGTATTGGGTGGGAACAATTTATTAGTATGAAAGATCTTGCTTATGCACCTATAACTCTAGAGTTTTTGAGTTCCTATTCTTCTATTATTCGCCTGTTGCCTGTTAATTTCTCTAGCAAAATTAGATTCAGGCTTTTCGGGAGAAATTTTGAACTCTCAATTAATAAGGTTAGTCACATTTTTGGTTTCCCCACTGAAAATGCCCTTAATCAAATACCTGCGGATTTTATGGACCGTAGTACATGGACCAATCTAACCGGAGAAAATAACTATAATCCTAGGTTTTCGAAAACATCAAAATTGAGAAACCCAACCTTAAAGTATATTCATAAATTCTTAGCCAACACTATTTTGGGGCGAAGTAAGAGCGATGGGGTGTTGAGTCGAAATGAATTATATTTTATATGGGCGATCGATCAGGATATTTTTTGAATGTTGGCTATTGGCTATGCCTATGATGGGCTAGAGTTGCATAGGCAGATAAAGGGGCTATTATGATGGGGTGTTTTGTGACTCGAATTGCAGCGTATTTGAGAGTTTGGAACCCTGCTAGGCCAGTATATGATAGTGTGGGAGGGGTAAAGGGTACTAGGCTAGACTTAGATGTTATGATTCATATGAAGTTGGTGGAAAAAGTAGGAGATTTGTACCGTATTGTGGGTACTCGAGAAGAGAGTTCTGATGATGATGAGGCTGAGGATGCCGATGACACTAATATGGAGGAGGGTAATCCGATTCCTTTCCCTGCTTTTGGTACTTCTTCTGGTGCAGGTACTTCTGGAGCTGGTCCTTCTTTTTAGGGAGCATCTAACTTGTCCAACGATGATGTTTTTGCATGGATGATGTCCTGAATGGACATGTTTGATACTCGCCTTAATGGAATGGAATCTATGATTGTTGACCGTTTCTAGTCGATAGAGATTATGCATGAGAGCCTCGACTCTCGTATAGACACCATGCAAGGCCAATATAAGGGAACAGCTAGTCAACTCCAAACCGTGATTCAACTGTTGCAGCCACATCCGCCTCCACCACCTGGGGATTGTACGATGTTTCTTCATCGTCTGATCGGCCCTAGCTTTTGTTTGCCACAGTTTGTTGTTATTTTTGATTGGAATTCTGCATCGAGGCAAGGAGAAGTGGTGGGCGTTGCGGTGAGCGGTGGTGTTGTTTTTTTAGGGAAACAGCCTCTTAGGCTGTATTGGGTGGGGAACTTTTGGGATTAGGTTTTTTGGGAGGAGATGTGTCTTGCTTTTTTATTGTTCACCTTGATATAATGCGCTATGTAGTTTTTGAAGGTTCCTGCTATTGTCTTTATATTGTATTTCCGCCTGTTGCGCGTTGGTGTTTGAAGTTTCTTTCTAGGGGCCAATATTGATGTTGATTAGAGTGTCGGGATGGCTTTTTCGGAGAGAAATTTGTGTGTAACTCTCGTATTCATATATAGGTGGGATTAGTGTTCAACTGTTGTTGTTTATGGTATTCATCCAACTGTATATAGTTGTTCTCTTAATTTCTAATACCTTTTCGGCGTGATTTATGTTTTTGGGACCTGGTTATTTTGTTACATTGTTGTGGCCAATATCTTTATACCGGTTTTGAGTAAAGTCTTACTATCTATATTTTTCCGGTAGGTTTTTTTGCGAATAAACATTATCAAAAAGTTGAGAGACCAACCTATTAATTTTGGGTATTTATTTCATTGTATTCTTAGCTCTAAGGCAATATTTTTTTGGTGGCGAAAGGTATAGAGCGTATTTGTGGGTGGTTTGCTTGTTAGGTCGAATATTTGTGATGTGTGTGATTGAGGTTGTGTACTGGGATTGTGTGGTCGGTAGGTTCGGATTTCAGGATTATTATTTTGTGGAAATGTTTGCGTTGGCTATGTGTGGCGTGTGCCTTGATGAGTAGGAGGCTGCAGATGTGTGTCTATTAGGCGGAAGTTCTATAGAGTGTATTTTATGTGTGGCTGTTTGGGTGTAATCGTCGATATTGCATGCGTTGTTCTGAGAGCTTTGGAACCTCTTTTGCTAGGTCCAGTATAGGTGATAGGTGGTGAGGTGGTAATAGTGGTGGCTAGTTGGCTTTATTGACTGCTAAGAATTGTTTGATTCATATGAATGATATGGAGGAAAAGGTATTAGGAGAGTTTGGTACCGGTTAGTTGCTTGGGTCATCTTCGATGGGTTAAAGAGAAAGTTGCCGTTGAGTTGTGAGTGATTGTTGAGGCTGAGGATTTTGCCCGAGTTGAATACTTATATTTTATTGGTAGGAGTGGTTAATCGTTAT